CAGATTTTTTTGTGTTATGTGTGATTAAAGTGGTCATATCCTGCAAAATTCATGACACTCAGGTGACTGACAAGGCCCAGAGGCCTCTTGTTGGTGTAAATGTTCAATAGGGTTTAAGAAAACAATATAATGCAGGAAATGGATACTCATGAAGACTTGCACAAACAAGCTGAATTCTAAACTACTTTAATTTTTATTCTAAAAATTACTCTATAAAGTTTAAAAGTTAATGAACTTGATTTAATGATCATCACTACAATGAGATACATGTACTACTTGTACATAATTGGACAAAAAAAATATACTTTGATATTTCTCCATTTCTCTTTCTTGAGAGTGCATGTAGACATTTATTTATAAAGTTTAAAAGATTTCTCTTGGTCGGCTTAACTTTTTCCGAGAACAAAATTTATGAGATTTGATGCTGAGAGAAACAAGAGAACAACATATGTAGTACATGTTTCACATGAGAAATTATACTCCAAACATGTTAAGATTTTGTGTTTTTATTTCTTTTTTAGCTCACCTGAGCCAAAGGCTCAAGTGAGCTTTTCTGATCAAAATTTGTCCGTTGTCTGTCGTTGTCGTAGGCGTCGTTGTAAACTTTTCACAATTTCATCTTCTTCTCCAGCACTACTGGGCCAATTTCAACCAAACTTGCCACAAAGTATCCTTGGGTGAAGGGGATTCAAGTTTGTGCAAATGAAGGGCCACACCTTCTTTCAAGGGGAGATAATAAAGAATTAGTGAAAAATTAATAGCATCTTTTAAAAATCTTCTTCTCAAGAACCACAGGGTCAGGAAAGATGAAATTCATGTGGAAGCATCCTCAGGTAGTGTAGATTCAAGTTCATGGCCCCCAGGGGTAGGGTGGGGCCATAATGGAGGATCAAAGTTTTACATAGAAATATATAGGAAAAATCTTTAAAAATCTTCATCTCAAGAACAGCAAAGCCATTATGAGTCATATTTATATGGAATCATCCTCAGATAGTGTAGATTCAAGTTTGTTCAAATCATGACCCCCAGGGGTAGGGCAGGGCCACAATGGAGGATCAAAGTTTTACATAGAAATATATAGGAAAAATCTTAAAAAAATCTTCATCTCGAGAACAGCAAAGCCATGATGAGTCATATTTATATGGAATCATCCTCAGGTAGTGTAGATTCAAGTTTGTTCAAATCATGACCCCCAGGGGTAGGGCAGGGCCACAATGGAGAATCAAAGTTTTACATAGAAATATATAGGAAAAATCTTTAAAAATCTTCATCTCGAGTATAGCAAAGCCATTATGAGTCATATTTATATGGAATCATCCTCAGGTAGTGTAGATTCAAGTTTGTTCAAATCATGACCCCCATGGGTAGGGCAGGGCAACAATGGAGGATCAAAGTTTTACATAGAAATATATAGGAAAAATCTTTAAAAATCTTCATCTCGAGAACAGCAAAGCCATGATGAGTCATATTTATATGGAATCATCCTCAGATAGTGTAGATTCAAGTTTGTTCAAATCATGACCCCCAGGGGTAGGGCGGGGCCACAATGGAGGATCAAAGTTTTACATAGAAATATATAGGAAAAATCTTTAAAAATCTTCTTCTCAAGAACAGCAAAGCCATGATGAGTCATATTTATATGGAAGCATCCTCAGGAAGTGTAGATTCAAGTTTGTTCAAATCATGACCCCCGGGGGTAGGGCGGGGCCACAATGGATTATCAAAGTTTTACATAGAAATATATAGGAAAATATCTTCTTCTGAAGAACTGCAAAGCCATGATTAGTCATTTTGATATGGAAGCATCCTCAGGTAGTGTAGATTCAAATTTGTTAAAATGATGACCCCCGGGGATAGGGACGGGCCACAATGCAGGATAAAAAATTTTTACATAAGAACATATAGGAAAATATTTCTTCTCAAGAATATTGATATGGAAGCATATTGATATGGAAGCATCCTCAGGTACTAGTAGTTTAAAATTCAAGCCCCCCCCCCCCCCACAGTAATCTTTTCAATACTGAACTGAATCGTGCTTTTGCCAAGCCAATGTGCTCAGGTGAGCGATGTGGCCCATGGGCCTCTTGTTTTTTATTTGATTAGGATATCATTTTGAAGAAGTATTTAATGAACTGCTTAAAACTCCAGAACAGTCAATCAAACCGTCTTGGATGTCTTGATTAAATGTTTTAATTTTAGGCACAGAGCAAAAGAGAGAGTTTATTTTTTTTTTTATCTAGACTATGTTCATAATGCATGTACCATTTCTCAGCTGCTTTATACATGCAAATTAAATATATGGGTATTTATAATGATGTTCATCAACTCAGACCAGTTACATGTACAATAATCTGTGTCATGGAACAAACCCTCATTGGGTCCATAGCAAATTATCATTTTAACTAAGAACATATTCTGTCTACTCAGATCTTAATCCAAGAATCTTCTGGATTAAAAACAAAATCCCTACTTTTTCATTATGTATATTATCAACACAATCAACATCGACATGTTCCAGCTAGGATCTGAAAATGGAGGGGTGCAAGAGGAGGGCACTTTTACATGACTTACCTTTGTCTCTAGCTTTTGTGTATCTCATTACTTCATCCTTATAATAATGAACTCCTTCATATATTATTGATTTATTTAACCTTATTGATTTGAAAGATACACAAACAGTAAACACATACTCATCTATAGAGCATGTAATCATGATTGTAAACATATAAAACGAAATTTTAAAGATCATCTTAGGATAAATGTTACTTTTCTTTCTCTTTTCAAATGATTTTCTATTCTTGATTCCTGTTTTCAATAAAAGCACCATAATATTCATATAAACTAGCTGGTGTCTCACACCTCACAATTCGTCACAATATGGAACTAAGGGTTTGAGCATGTTGAGAGAGTTTTAGATGAATAATTATATATATCAGATTAGTTACTCAAACATGTCACCCTAGAATGTGTTCATATTTTATTAAATGACATAGTTTTAGTTATTATGCTCAGAATGCCATTCTAGTCACCAACCATGGAGCTTGGTGTTAAGATTGTTACTTGTATCAAGTAGATTGAGTTATGTAAGGAAAAGCTCGATCATTCAGTGTCCCTAGCTTTAAAGTAGGAATTCAGCCTTCCATGCTCGCGATCGCCTATAAACACGGTGTTTTAAACAAACATACAATGCAGAGTAGAAACACTGGACATATTCATCTCCGCTTACATGGACTTTATCTATTTTTATTATATACCTAACTGTTTGTCACTCAGTTTTACTGTTGAATTTATGCAATCACGTGACGGTGTGATCCGACGTTCCGGATCACCATACTGTGGTTTTCTGAATCCATATCACCCCTCTCTGAAATTGATGACGTAGCACACAGATAAATGACGTTTTAATTCTCGGGCATCAAAAAGTTCCTTGACAAATTGGTTTGTATAATGTATAAAAGTTATGTAATTGATCCAAAAAGTGTCCTTTTATTTTATTTTGCAAGTTGTAAAGGGGTATATAATAATTTATCATTATAACAGTAACTTGATCCGAAGAGCCGTATCACGTCTCGTTGACAGGCGCGGATCATCAGATCAAACTCGACGCTTCGCGTCTCGTTTGATCTGATGATCCGCGCCTGTCAACTTGACGTGATACGGCTCTTCGGATCAAGTTACTGTTATAATAATATATATGTATGGATAAAAACATGATAAACAACGTGTTACCTTACTAAGACGAACCCGAACTGTTCGTGTGATGAAACCAGACGTTAAAAAGACGTGGCAGACAAAACCACTTATTTGTATCTATGAATATCGAAAAATGTATTACATAGAGACAAGAAGTAGTAAAACGTGCCACTTCTCTAATCGATCCCCCATTTCAGATTTCTGTCATCATACGAAACATAAGTTCGCGCCTGCGCAATAACGGATTAAAGAATATTCCGAACATTGAACCCGATGACATTATGCTTGTGATCCTTGAAAACTAATGCTTGGCCGTCTGTGCATTAAACAGAAAACTTTTAATTTACACCATACTTATTACTGTTTTATTAATGATAATTTTAATATTCAAAACGATTTTTACAACAAAATCCTAAGAGTATGGATATTAGAAAGTCTTTTCAAATAATCAATTTTCAGGGAATTCGGTTTGAAATTGTAAAATTTTCTTGTTAGATGTCCGCTTCCCCACTTAATTTTTATGCCACATAACGGAAAGATCATTGGAAAATGACATGCTAATTTTTTAAAGAAATCTGTCCTCAGAATATCAAACAGCAATTTTTTTTTAACCAGTAATGAAGTTCATAATTTTGAGCGAAATATGTTTTAATTCGCCATAAAAAGTACAATAAAGTGGATCAGCAGATTAAAAAATTAATAAAACCGTTAAACAAGCGTATCTTCTCTATAATTCATATGTTTAAGTTTTTCATTTACATTTAATTTTAAAAAGCTAGCATAAATATCTTAATTACTGCATTTCTGTAATTTTGCGAGGCAATGTCTATTTTTAGTAACGGTCCTTGCAAAAAGAGGTCCGGTTGACCTCAAAATTTACACAGATCTGGAAAGGACACATACTTAGTTAAAATTCTGAGAAGTTTCACAGAAATCTGTAGCTTCGTTATTTTCAAAGCATGGTATGGATCTTTACCTTAAAAGTCCGGAAAGGTTACTGAATGGCAGAGCTTTGCCATTCAGTCATCTTTCGGTAATCCTTAAGTCATCTTTCATTTCACTGAAAGGCATATTTTCACCCTATGAATTGGCTGAGAAATGGCATTCATAATATAAATTGAGAGCTGTTATTTACAGTCCTAGATAAATGGACGTACTGGATACATTAGATGAAATCAGTTTCAGTTGGTATGTCATGTTAAAAAGCATATTATTCATTGCTTAGCTGCAAAAGGATTTAGTTCTCTAATAGTTCTGATGACGAAGCTCATAAATTAGCGCAAAAATTTCAAGATACAAATACCAACTTTCATTGCAGTAAAATCCTTGATATCCAGTATCACAACCCTCTGCACATGCTCCACTAACAGTGTCACATCCCAATCCGGCCAGACAAAATCCACACTTGAGTGCACAGTTTTCACCATATGTCATGGCCATACATTCTGAAATGAAAGTTTCAGTCGATATTAAAAAGAATTGTATAGTAAGGTTGCATTGACAATTCTTTAAATTATCATAATGATAATAGAATACGATGATAATACATTGTTAAGGTATTCAATGTATAACGACGATATTTTGTACCTAATAAATGAATGGTCCGAAATGATTAATCGTGGTAACATTTTGAAGGTGTTATGAAATAAACATACCCCACCAAATGAATTTACAAAATTTTAATTACTGTCCAACTAATTGCACCTTAAATTTTACATTGAAATCTATGAGCAGCGCATGTTTTATTAAGATATTGTAAAAAGTAATGTGAATTTCATACAAATCTCTTGGTGAAAATATGCATAGACTCTCGTTTTACTAAAATATGAAATAGAATGAATCATTTACCACAAATGGCGAACATATGCATATTCTCTTTTTACTAAAATATGAAATAGAATGAATCATTTACCACAGATATTTTGACAAAATTAAAATTGTCTTTTTTTCATCAAGGGTAGATAACTCTTCAAAAAATTTTCAGGTGAAAAATGATCAGCTTCTTATTTGTTATCAGTCATGTGAAGTTAGCTCATTTCACTTTCATTGTTATTTAGCAATATATTTTTAACTACTTTAAAACGATTCAAAATTGTTAAAAAAATCCCTTCTTTACACATTGAATACCCTCATGGTTACAATAACATACGACAAAATTGCACTAGTTATTGTTTCTTTGAAAAAAAAATGAAAAAAAAGTTTAGGAAGGTTGACTATTACTATTAGTCAGGGTGCTTTGATTTTTCTTCGTCAAGATTTAGTTTGGATTGGAAATAATGAAAGTGATGGTGTGCTGAATACTATTTACAATAATATTAGTATGACAATTGTGTAACAATAATACACGGGTTGTGTGAGCTGAATATTATTTTACAAAAACATAGGAATGTGCTGACTATGGTTTTGCATTAACACACTAAGGGTGTGTTAACTATTTTTTTTTTATTGATGAGCATTTGCTGACTAATTGCAGGAATTCACCATTATGGAGATTTTACAATTGTTTTACAATCAAATACAATCAAAGGATAAACCGACCGTATCTTAATACTGTAAATTGATTATTTATTTTAACTTTCTTTGACAACCTTCGTAGAAAAAATACTAAGTGAGGGTGTATTAGCTCTCTTTTATTTGAAAGATATGAAGTAGATTGATTCAATGGAAATTGATTAAATTGAAAATTTTTTAAAAAAATATTTAACATAGTTACCTTCCGTACAACCTTCCCCTCTTTTTCCTGCAACACAACTTGTACAATGACCCGTTGAACTATTACACTGACGGAGGTCAAAAGTCAGTTTACACGTATTTCTACATGTTTGATTACAGTTATATCCAAATGATGTTCCATTACATTCTGAAAAGTAAGTACTATATGTGGGTCACAGTTGATGCTTCTATTTTACATTTATGTGAAAAATATTTCGTCCCCTTTTTAGTAAACACACTGGACTTGAGGCAACACAATTCATGTTTTTATTGTACGTAATAATGTATGTATTTTTTAAAGTTATGTTTAAAGTAAAGAAAAAATTTATTTATCAAAAATGTAGATTGAATCTCCCTAAATAGAATCCACAAAAATAAAACTTTATAATATCACCTGTTATTATAAAATTACCTTCATTACATAGTCGCCCTGTAAATCCCTTTTCGCATCCATTGACACATGTGCCAGTGACGCCATCACAAATATCTTCATTTGGTCCTTTCTTACACTGTCCACACGTCTCGTTGCATAGGAAACCGAACTGGTTTGAATTGCACTCTATGGGGATTTAACTGATATATAATTACCACTCGTGCTTTCATTAGACAAGAAAATTATATATACATGTACGTACTTAAACCAGAAAGCTTCTCTTTTTTCAAAGAGGGGTTTTCTATCTATCTATCTATCTATCTATCTATCTATCTATCTATCTATCTAAATTAAATTAAGGATAAAATTCAGTCGTTAATAAAACTTATCTTCCTTGCATCCCTCATTATAAAAACGTCGAAGATTTTGGAAATATCTTAGTGTTAAAACTATTGAAATTGCATTGGAATAAATTCTAGACTTCTCCCTGACGTACAACATATAAAATGCAAAATATAAAATATATAAAAATATATAAAAAGAGTAAAACAAAATAACTTCTTACTTTCACATTGGCCTGTGTTGATGTTACATCCTCCAACACAAGATTCAGAACATTTTTTTTCACAGTGGGTACCATATGTTTGATTCATACATTCTAAGGAAATGCAACACAACAGTGTCACATACAGTATGCTCTGTTTGAGGTATTTATGAGTTTGATAAATAAACAATATTTATAAATTGAATGTCAGGACAAGAAATACTCATTTTTAGTTTAAACTAGTACTACTGTGAGCACCTCACAAAATGATACTCCCTCTCCCATATGGAATAATGACAAAGTCCATGTTTTGCTATGAGAAACCCCATTTATCTGTCCGATCAGACCACAACATAAAAGACGTGCACAATTACACTATAAAAAAAAATTTATTGATATCGTATTAAATTTCACTAAGTTGCAAATAGAGGTTGGTACCCCAATAATATATAAGGACTTAGAGTGTTCATGTTTTGCTATGGGAAATTCCAAAAATCTGTCCGATCGAAACGTTCAATAAAAGGTGCACAGTAGCACTATGAAATAAGATTATGTTAAAGTCTCATCAAATTGTATTCAGCGGTAAACTATGAATTGGGGATTAGAGATGGAACCCCCCACCCCATCCCCCAATGTTACGGACGTAAGGACAGATCTTACATTCAATTTATTCAATATATACCCCCTTTTCAAGCGATCGTATAAAATGTCTAGTAAACTTATCCAAAAAGCATACCCTTTGCGAATGTACACACACAAAACACCCTCACCCTCACACACACCCCACACCCTCACACACATACGAACCACCCACACCTCCCCCAAAATACCGTGTACTGAGTATTATTATAAAATTGTTTAATGAAATATTTTAGTCTTTTGTATATTATCTTTTATCTTTAATCAATTAATTTGAAATGTTAGCTTTGAGAGTAGGTATACACTTTCATCTTTGGTATGTCTACCCATATACCTATGTATCAAATCACCTATATACCTAAACATATCCCATCAGTGTCACAATCTACGCAAAACGTTCCAATGCAAGGTACGCACTCTCCTCCCTTACTGAATTGCTTCGAATTGCAGCCTGTTATATAATTTTAAGACGGAGTTTGTTAATGAAATGTTATTAATAGCAATAAAACTCAAGTAATATCATAGTAAATCGAATTATCAATATGTATACAATAATAAACACTAGTTTAATATGATGAACTAGTATAGCAAATTATCCAGATTTTTTAATGGTAATATTGACTTTCAAAATTAAAATATTTCGGAAAAAAGTAAATATTAAGTGCAATTCAAATAAAGGACATACCAAAAATTTCTATTTCACAGATTTCAAGAATAGGTCTCTCATAATATCCAGAGGTGTCGTTCTGGTAAACTATAACATAACGTGCTCTGCCTTTGCAAGCATTTGACACTATTGCATTCTGTTTATCGCTAACTGGGTCATCCTTGTAACATAATTTCCATTGTTCCTGATCGATTTTTTCGGAGTAATATAGAGTATACCCATGAAATCTGTGTTCATCTAATTAAGATATAAAAGAAAAAAGTACAAGTAGGAACACGGAATTTAAGATTGTACATACATGTACAACATAGGTCAAAATATAGTTGTTCTTTTGGAAGGGTGCATGTAAATGATATCAGAGCAAGACTTCGAAGGAAGGGAGATTCTGATACTTACAATTTTTTCTGATGAAAATCGTGACATTATAGATATTGACAATGTTTCCAAGATCTACGTAGACAAATGTAAAATCTGTTCCATGGTTTGCATCTGTATGTGTACAATACTCTATACTCTGGTTTCTATTACCGTCCACCGCTCTGTTTTCCTTCCCCTCGTAGCCAGGGTAAACAGACATCATAACAAACGTTTTATTTAGAGCGATATTATCTGAAGAAGAATCAAATCAATGCTTCAATATGAATAACATATGGAAGTCAGACGCAAAAGCAATGTAAATTTTAAACCAACATACCAAAACCGTGGTAATGGGTGCAGATAAAGGAAAAGGTTATACAATATTATGAAGAAAATATTCATAAGTTCAGTTTTCAGCCTTAAAGTATATCGAGAAGAGTGTATCCTTTTATTTCTGACACTGCATATATATGTTTATGTTATATCGAAATAAACAAGGATATATAAGTAATTAGTCCCATGAAGTCCTATGATCGACAAAGCAATTTAGGTTCCCATTTTGAAGTTAAAGTGAAGAAGAATTGTGCATTTTAGAATTTGTAAGTGGAATTAAACAGATAGCAAAAACTAGATTTATGTATCGTAGATTAACATTTCTGAATTTATGAAATAACTTCTGAATCAATTTAAGCAGTTACTGGAACTTACTTGAGCAAAGTAATATTCGTCTGTTATCATGATATTGTGTTTGTAGTAGCTTGTCATAATTTAGGTCTTTCGACCTTTCTGTGGAAAGACCTATTAAAATTGTTCCGTTTATTATTATTTTTCCGCCAAGTGTGTTTTTGAGTTTCAAGATTTATCGAAAAGATTTATAGTCCATGAGAATGTACTCCTTAAAAGATTTTTGCAGTTGACCCTGCGTATATGAACTTTGACCCCTCCAAGAGTTATTACCCCTTTCGCAATAAAAGCTTGTTATCGCTACTTCTCCGAAACCGTTAACCATAGAGATACTAATCCATCACCAGTATCTTCGACTAAGTCAAAAGACGCTCTGACATTTTGAGTGAGGAGGGATTCATTAACCCCATTAAGTAGTTATTACCCCTGAAAGTTTTTGAAGTTTACGAATAATGAAA